GGGAATGGGAATGGGAATGGGGAATGGGAATGGGAATTGGGAATTGGAAATTGGGAATGGGAATTGGAAATTTGGGATTTGGGAATTGGAAATTGGAAATGGGAATCGGAAATTTGGGATTTGGGAATTGGAAATTGGAAATGGGAATTGGAAATTTGGGATTTGGGAATTGGAAATTGGAAATGGGAATTGGAAATTTGGGATTTGGGAATGGGAACTGGGAAAGGGAATTGGGAATGGGAACGGGAATTTGGAAATTGGGAATGGAAAACCAGGAATGGGAACGAGAATTTGGGAACAAAAAAACAGGAATGGGAATGGGAATTTGGAAATTGGGGAATTGGGAATTCAGGATGGGAACGGGGATAGGAATTGGGAATGGGAACTGGGGGATAAAAACTGGGAATGAAATCCTGGAATGGAATCGGGAATCGGATTTGGGATTGGAATCCGGGAATGAAATCCTGGAATGGAATTTGGGAATGAAAACCAGGGATGGAAATGGGGATGGAAACCAGAAATAAAAACCAGGAATGGAATCGGGATTGGAATTTGGGATTGGAATCCGGGAATGGAATCTGGGAATTCCCGTCCGCAGGGTGGGAATTTCGGGAACTCACGCGCACGTCGAGGTTTTCCAGGAAGAATTCCAGCAGGGATTTGCTGATGCCGAGGCCGCGCTCCCGCTCCGGCTCCCGCGGGGAGCGGATCCAGGGGCCTAAATGCTGGGAACGGGGGGAAAATCCTGGAATTCTGACAGGGAAATCCGGGAATTCTGACAGGGGAATCCGGGAATTCTGCAGGGAAAATGCTGGAATTCTACAGGGAAAATCCTGGAATTCTGACAGGGAAATCCGGGAATTCTGACAGGGGAATCCGGGAATTCTGCAGGGAAAATGCTGGGATTCTGCAGGGAAAATGCTGGGATTCTGCAGGGAAACCCGGGAATTCTGCAGGAAAAATGCTGGGATTCTGACAGGAAAATCCTGGAATTCTGACAGGGGAATCCAGGAATTCTGCAGGGAAAATGCTGGGATTCTACAGGGAAAATCCTGGAATTCTGCAGGGAAATTCAGGAATTCTGCAGGAAAAATGCTGGGATTCTGACAGGAAAATCCTGGAATTCTGCACAGAAATCCTGGAATTCTGCAGGGAAAAATCCTGGAATTCTGCAGGGAAATTCTGGAATTCTGACAGGAAAATCCGGGAATTCTGACAGGGGAATCCGGGAATTCTGCAGGGAAATCTGGGAATTCTACAGGAAAATCCTGGAATTCTGCAGGGAAATCCTGGGATTCTGCAGGGAAAATGCTGGGATTCTGACAGGAAAATCCTGGAATTCTGACAGGAAAATCCAGGAATTCTACAGGGAAAATCCTGGAATTTTATAGGGAGAATGCTGGGATTTTGGCAAGAAAATCCTGGAATTTTACAGAGAAGATCTGGGATTCTGCAGGGAAATTCCCAGAATTCCAATCTCCCATTCCTTGGAATTTCCTCATTTCCACTCCCAGAATTCCCATTCCCAGAATTCCCTCCCCATTCCCATTATTTCCATTCCCCAAATTCCCAGAATTCCCATTCCCAGAATTCCCAGAATTCCCTCCCTCAGAATTGAATCCCCGTGATCCCAACAGATCCCGGAGCCACCTCCCGCTTCCAGGAAATTCTCCAAATTCCCGGAATTCCCAAAATCACTCCCGAAATTCCCGGAATTCCCCAAATCACTCCCGAAATTCCCGGGATTCCCGGCACTCACGGCAAAGATCTCCTGGAGGCCGCTGGGGCTGAGGCGCCTCCGGAGAATTCCCTGGAGCAGCTCCGTGAGCGCCGCCGGGAACGGCTCCTGGGAAAATCCCGGAAAACCCCGGAATTCCGGGATCAGAAAAACCCCGGCAATTCCCAAACCCGCCCCAGCCCGTCCTTATCCCGGAAAAAACAATGGGAATTTTAGGAAGAGCCCGGAATATCGGGATCATCCCTTGGGAACAGGATGGGAATTCAGGAGGTGTTTTTTCCCTGGAATTCCCATTTTTTTCCCCCAAAAATCCCACGGAATTCCCACCTGGCCTCAGGGATGTTCCCATTTTTTTCCTGGAATTCCCATTTTTTCCCCAGAATTCCCGTTTTCACCACGAACTCCGGCGGAATCCCCACCTGCTCCGGGCTGTTCCCATTTTTCCCCCAGAATTCCCTTTTTTTTCCTCAGAATTCCCTTGTTTTCCCCAGAATTCCCATTTTCCCCCCAGAATTCCCATTTTCCCCCCAGAATTCCCATTTCCCCCCCACAATTCCCATTTTCCCCCCCTCCCATTTTTTCCCCCAGAATTCCCTTTTTTTACCCAGAATTCCTAATTTTCCCCCCCAATTCCCATTTTTTCCCCCAGAATTCCCGTTTCCCCCAGAATTCCCGTTTTCCCCCCC